ATATATATACTTTGTGGGGTCTGCCACGCCTCCTTCTGCCTGTTACATACTTTTAGCAAAACCATTATACCCTGATTTCCCGTTTTCAATGGGTTCAGGGTATAAAAATTATTGAAATGTCTGGGCGGAAGAAATGTGCTTCGAAGCAAACCCGTATAAATAATTCTGTATAAAGCTTAATTAATTTTAACATATGTATGTACATTACGTTAAATAAAAACCCTTGATAATTCGAAGTTTTATTTATTTTCTCTTAATATATCAAACATTCGATAGTTCGAAATATTTTAAGAGTCCCTTGAATTTCGAAATAACGAGAGTCGACTGTACATACATAAGTACGTATGCTCGTGTTAACAACTCCAAATCTAGAGGATATGGCGGTAACTCAAAGCTGAGGGCGTAGAAAATCGTAAAATCAATCTCAAATCTTTTGGGCCGTGGATGAGTATTTTGCAGTCAGTAAAACCCAGATAAATATGTGATTTTGATGAGGTTCAAGACCTTTGATAGAAATATAATCTTAGTAGGTGTATGCATTTGATTATATACCTGAAATGCGACAGTGAATAAACATATTTATTAGTTTTCTTAACCTTTACGTGCGATTTTTACGACGAAGTATGTATGTATATTAAATATTCTTTATACGAACGAGCTGAGTCAATCTAACCATGTGTGCCTGTTCGCCCAGCCCGGCTATCGGTATATCCACCCATATGAAGATCACACTACAAACGCATTTCGTAATCCACTGAAGATTTCAGCATGTACATATCGCTATATATCGATATTATATCAAAAATAGTATGAGTGTACATAAAAACCAAAATATTTATTCGAAAAGGTATTATTTAGACGAATGTAAATGCAATTATCTACATATTAAGTATTCTGATCTTATACATAGGCCCTAATTTTCCACATACATAGCTATAAGTTTGTTAAGTTCAGAAATCACTCAAAATATAGATGCCATTTAGAGTACTTATTAAAATTCCCGCCTAATACGTATCATTGTAACTACGTTTATAAGTCGCCAATCAGATATAAAAACCCGCGGAGAGTAAATAAAATTTTTTTCAATAGTATGTAATATACTTAAAAATACTTTAAACTAGTAACCAATCAGTAATTGTCAAAACACAACAGCAAAATATTTTTTCACCAGATAATAAATGCTCTTAATAGCTAATAAGTTTCTCTTAAGTTAATCTTTTGCCTTTTGTCATTCTCATTCGCTGTTAGTGCACTCATGCACATAACAAAACATAACACACATACAAATGTAAATTTCAGCTGCAAAAAATATAAACATATATATATATATATATATTTATAAGCAAATGAAATTTAACAAAAAATAAGTAAAAAAAAATGATATGTATTAGAAGTATCAACGTATATAATATTAGCACTGCACGAATATCAATATAATTATATTACAAATACCGCCGTTTGTTCAGGCAAAAAAAATATATATTTATGTATATTAAATATATGTGAGGTGTCATACACATCGTAGATCAAATAGAACTAGAGCAATAATAGTTTATAATAATAAAACAACTACGATCTAGGATGCGTTTGCTTTGCCTACCAAATCGGTAAACACATCAATTTTCTTGTTGAATGAATGTTAAGCAAAAATCAATATATATTTCTGATCTCCTCATTGTGATATTTGTTTAAACAAATATTATGCATTTTGTTTTCGTTTTTCGCAGACTACAGAGAAGAACAAAGCAATTTTAATTATATGCCAACAGCGCCATGGTTGATATTTACATAAATTGACATGCAAAGAAAACAAAAACAAAAAACTAATTTAATAATAATAAAATCATAAAGTAGGTAAGTTCTATGATTCCAACTATAATGACTGTTTCATATATCACGTTTTGTTCTTTTGTCCTTATTTTTGAATAAACGCCACATACAAATCTATCAGTATAGTAAGCTAATAGTGTAACTATTATCTGCACAGAAAAAAACAAAAAAAATATGTGAATAAAATATGAGAGAGAGAAAGAAGAGGATCTGAGTCTATATATACTCGAATATAGTGGACTTAAATAATTTGAATAGTTATAGGACGATATAACCGTACGTCCTTTGGATAAAAAGAATTAATGTCTTACTTTTTTAAGTTTCAAATTCATAAATATATATAATATATTAATATAATAATAATATTTATTAAGCTTAAGCTTCCGTTAATGCTTACAAAAGAAATTTATTACGCAGAATCTTTGGTTATCTTGTTTAAATGTTACTGAAACTATATATACATACTAACTTATAAATAAATATTTATTTATATATATATAAATATAAATATATATATACCGGCCTAGCCGGAGAGATTGCTAAATGAACTTATATCATAGTTGTTGTGGTTGTTTTTAGTATCCCGTATAGCCGCTCATATCTGTCGGCTTAATCCGGTCAAAAACGCTTAAATGGTGTGCTGCTGGATGTCCTACGTGATGGTGAGGATGATGCGAATGAGGATGTGGATGCGGGTGCGAATGCGCATGTGGAAAGCCAGTGTAATTAGCCTGCTGCCCATAGTGGGCAAATGGATAATTTGGGCTAGGCACATGCAGTGTAGGCGTACTCTGCACGCTGTAGGGGCCATATTCGGTTGCTGATGTACCGTGCTGTGGACCATAAGGCGGGGCGTACATTGGATTGACATTTACCGTTGGCATCGCATGGGCCATGTGCATATGTTCCATATACATTTGCGGATGTGAATGCGAATGTGGATGTGGGTGTGGATGTGGATGCATCGCTGGTTGACTTCCAGCAGCAGTTACCAACGCGGAGCTAATCACATGGCTAGCTTGTGGATGTGCGTAGCCAATCTGACTATGATTGGGGTAGTCGTTGTTGCTCTTGCTGGTATTGGTGTTGCTGCTAATGCTATCACTGCTGTTCGTTTGGCCCAAATGTGCATCAATATTTGTTGTAGCTGACGATGCGGCCAAACTGCTAACAGAATAGTTGCTAATCACATTGTTGTTCGATGTAGATTCCGTATGAACATTCTTCTGTTGCTGGTGTTGTTGGTGCTGCTGCTGTTGTTGTAGTCCCAATAAACGACTTTCGACAGCAGCAGCTGCCGCAGCTGCTGTTGCTGAGGATATAACATTGGTTTCATGCTCACTTATTGTTGGTATTTGATCAACCAGAGATTCTAGACCCGACAAACTCTTACGCGACATATCGGCGGAGGAAACTTTACCTAACGGCGTATTGCTAGTCAGTTGCGGACTTAAATTAATGTTATGATGAGAGCGGGGTGAGGATACCATATAAGATCGACTATCGCTGTGCTCATCATAGCGTTGCCAATGCTCAGCCGGATTTGGTTGATAGTTAAGTTGCGCTCGCGGTTGATAGTGACTCACGGGCAAGGATTGGGATTGATTGAGCTTTTGGGCGGATTGTTGCTGTTGCTGATGATTCAGCCACTGCTGATAATGCTCGGCTACAGGTGTCAAAGGCTCCATTTGCAATTTATCTGCCGCCCGGGTCAGTAGATTAGTGTCCTGGCCATCATTTTGCTCGCTTGGCGGCTCAAAGTCAACCCCAGTACACATATTTGGTGAGCTTGGCGGTGGTGTTTCCCCTAAATGAGGTTGATCTCTGATGACTGAGCCAACAGTAGCTTGCATATGGTGGTGATCTGTTTGCATAAGCTGCATATGCTGCTGTTGCTGGTCAACTTGACCGACTGGCGGGTAGCTACAATTAAGAGCTGGCGAAGCCATTGGCGAAGCAGATGCTGTATATAATATGTGTGATGGTGGCGGCGTATTATATAAACTAGGTGGCGCCTGATGGCTCTGACTCTGTGGCGATGCGGTATTATGCTCCATTGAAATCGAAATCATGCCTCCAGTTGATGTGTCAGTTGACGATTGTTGCTGTTGCTGCTGCTGCTGCTGTTGCTGCTGCTGTTGTTGCTGCTGCTGCTGTTGTTGCTGCTGCTGCTGTTGTTGCTGCTGCTGCTGCTGCTGCTGTTGCTGCTGCTGCTGCTGCTGCTGCTG